ATATTGTAATTTAGACCATTTTTAAGCCTGTTGGTATTCTGAAGCCTACTTAAGAAAAACCAAATATTGTATTTAAATAAACCACCCTATATATATATTTAAAATAATAAATGAACACGGATCTTATTTTTAATTTTACAGAAATGGTTAAACAGTAAAAAGGATGTTTCAAACAATAGCATTACATACGTATTTATTTTCAAATATTTTCAACCATCTTACCTCATGACAACAGGGTCCTTTAAGACTTCGGAAGGAAATACATTATATATGTAGGCTGAACTGCTAAAGTCGTTTGGCAGAGGCAGGGAAAAATGTATTCCAACATATATCTGTGAAAAGAAAAGAACAAATAAAAGCCAAAAATAAAAAAAGGTTAATGAACGAAAGCAGTACTTTTGTTACTAAAAACTATTAAAATCAATTTTTTGTACTGAGTGAACTGATAATCATCATTGAACACAGATAAACTAATTTTTCAATCTTTTCTTAGATTATCAAACATGGCGGAGTAAACTGCATTTACTTACTAATTTTATTAATTGGAAACGTAAAACTAATCCGACAGCCTCTAGAAAAACATACAACCGATAAAACAGAAATTGCAGAATCTATTTTGATAAAATTTTGTACGTCCTAGTACTTTTTTCCGATTTTTTATCAAAATTGCACACAAAATTAAAAGCAACGAATGATACAAGAAGCAATAGACCACTACCATAGATAAAGCATTACCATAGATTAAAGAAATATATCATGAAATATATACTGTTGGTATAGACCAGCATCTGACCCATAGATAAGATATGACCAATACATAATCTATGTCCTGTGAATCTGGCACCCGATATAAATAATCNTTTCGCGCTAATAATTAGGCAAACTAATATGTATTATAAATGTAAACTCCTCAAACGATCATCATGACACACTGTTAGAGGTACAGAAAAGCACATACGGTACCTTTTATTCAAAAAATAATACTGTTCCTGAAGGATAAAAGAATTAGTTTTAAAAGATCGATTTCACGCCGTAACTACTCCCTCGATCTTTATGAAATATTGTAGATACACTGTGAGGCGTACATAAAAGGACGTGGGGTATCTTTTATCTAGGAGAAAAAATTGTTGTTCCCCAGGGATAGAAAAGTTTATTTTATGTGTTCGATTTCATATCTTAACTACTAGATCGATCATTATGAAATTTAGTAGACACATTGTCAGAGGTACAAAAAAGGACATAGAGTATCTTTTATCCAGGAGAAAACAATGCTGTTCCCCAGAGACTAAAAAATTAGTTAAATTTGATTAAATCAAGCCTTAATCATTTAATTCATCATCATGAAATTTTGTAGACATTTGTCAGGGGTATAGAAAAGAATATAGTATAGGGTACCTTTTGATCAGAAAAAATATTGTTCCAAAGGGCAAGAAAAAAATTAGTAGGGTCGATCTCACGCCTTAACTACTCAATCGATCATTATGAAATTTTGTACACAAATTGTCAGGGATATGGAAAAGAATAAATACACTTTTTATCCAGAAAAGATATTGTTCTTGAGGGATAGAAAAATTAGTTAAATGTGATCGATTTTATGCCTTAACTTCACTTAAATTTTGCACACACATTGTCAGGAGTACGGTAAAGGATATAGGACACTTGTTATCCAAAAAAAAATTTGTTCCCGGGGGATAGAAAAATTAGTTAAAGGTGATCGACTCACACTTTAACTGTTCAATCGGTCATCATGAAATTTTGTAAACACTTCAACAGGGGTACAGATAAACACACAGCGTAACTTCTATCCAGAAAAAAATCCTGTTCCCGAGGGATAAAAAAAATTGTTTTAAGTGGTCGTCAATAATCTTTGACACGTTTTTAGAATGTCAAAGCGAGCAAAGCCGCGGGTAAAATCCAGTAAAACAATAAACAATAAAAATAGAAAATAGTTGTCCGTCTTTGCTCGAGATACCGCCCCTGTCCAACAAAAAGATCATCAAAACAAATTAAATAAGTTATACGTAAGACCATGATTAAAAATATAAGATAAATGAGTACAAACGATGTTATGTTTCGATATTTGATTAAGCTGTTTGTTTTAGTTTAGATATAAATAACATTTATACATTATTTTTATTTGTATATTGTTGGAATGCATCAAACCAAGACACTGTATGTTAACACGTGTGCTCACGTTACTCTAGTATTTGACTGGTTTAGATAATTTCATGAACGCAACGTTTTAATAAAATTAAGTCCATTTACTTGCAACAATTTCAATGTGAGCTTTTTTTCAATCATAAGAAAGTTGTTCGTTTATATTATCTAATTTATAGTTTTACTTTACTCCTATAAAATACTGGGAAAATGACCAAATATCGGTATATCATTTATAACTACCCTGAATCTTCTAGAAGAATTTGGTTCCCGCATTTTTAACTGTAAGCAACTTTCTCTATCAAAAATTGTAAAAACATGAAAGTGCAGGGCACAAGGTAAAAATGGCCACATTAGAGAAATATACAAAATGAAAACATTCATTTGCTTTAACGTAAGTAAGTGTCGTAAAATCATGTTTATTTCCACAGACTGCTTATGTACCAAATAAATTAGAGTATTTTATTAAAATCCAAACATTTACTTGCTTACAAGTTTCGACTTGCACTGTAACATTATTACCATGATACTTTGAATTTAAAATATATTTAGTATTAAATACAGCTGGCGACTGCTCGTCATTGATATAGGCAACCCAGTTAACTTCAAAGTATTTTGAGCGTCGGCTTTCAAAACTAGAGTTTAAAATATTAATAATCGAGTAATAAAAACGTTTCTAAATTGGAGGTTGAAATGTAAATCGACGTTCTTTATGAATTTTTGTGACAAAATCAGCAAAACGTAGTGATGCTATAAACGCCAAACTGGCTTTTTTAGAAAAAATTTGGATAAACTGAAGTTCGCAATTACCTACAACTCCAACTAAATAATAGACAATCTAAGTGTATAATACAAAGAAGTAACCTGTCAGTTATCCTATGTATGTCTTTTATTAACCAAATTGATACCAGATTAATAAAGTTTAATTAATATTAATTTAACTATGTATTATTACCTGTAGTAGCTGCAGAATGTAGCATTCCATGGTTTACATGTGTGGAAACAATATCAGTGCAGACATCCCTTGTGGTCATCACTAGGGTCGAAATTAACTTCCTAATCTCTCTATTTGTTAGCCAACCTGTAAAAATGGACAAAAAAAATACTTACAATACTTTTAATCAAGAATATTTTTAAG